ACAGGCAGACACCTTTTTTATTTGCGAAAAAAAATTCTCCCAGTGCTTCCCGTCCAATTGGGGAATAATTCTCAAGCTGCAACAGCGGACCGGTTGGAGGTTTTTTCTCGCTGTGGGTGATGTGCAGGGCAAACGTTTCGGGGGGGTGGAGAGCAAATGTGGAATATATATATATATATATTTTTAAAACAACTCGCTGGCCATCCCGATTACAGTGGAATTGTTCGTTTTATTTACATTTGCGAACATATCTATTGCCGCAGCAAACGCTGACTCTATACACCTATGTTGTGTTGATATATAAATAAATGCATAGTAACAAAAATGAAAAACATCTTACCCCACCTTCCCCCCCAACTTTACGATTCAGCTGTTTCTGGAGGGCAACGGCAAGATGCTGCCAGGGTTCCGCGACTTTCCCCATCCTCATGCAGTTGAGAACGATTAAAAGTTTGATTGGAAGGAGGGACGTCGAGAGCGGGGTTCTTCTCGAAAAACCCATCCGGTTTGAGCATATGCTTATCCTTTCGGCAGGCATGATGGGGAAGTCCTCAGGACGTGGGTTGTGTGTAAGGCCGAATGCTGCGGTTTATAGTTAGCCACTTTAGCCACTACTCATCCTCTCATTTGGCTCTGTTGAAAAGGGCCAAAAAAGGGACTCGTGGGTTTCTTTTTTATTATATTATCAAGACACCCATGTTTAGCAGTGGGTTGGGAGTTAACTCACTATGCCATAATACGACATCAGTGTTTTCAATATTATTATTCCTTTCCACCCATTCTTTGACACCAGAGCTTTTCTTGCTCTGGTTTGTGAACTCGCCGGCAGCATGGAGTTCTCCATCTTGGTATCTGGTCACCCAGATCGGCTTGGTCGCGAACTGTGCACGCCTCCGATTGAAGCTGAGAGGACTCATCAACATCATCTGGCTAGGCAGAGTCTGCAGCGTGTAAGCTACCGGCTTGCGCGAGATTGTGTTGATGACGCTATCGTTGCGGATCTTGAAGACCCGATACTTCTCAACGTTAGTATCGGCTGTCCCGGACGTTTTCAGCACAGTCGTTTCTGTTACATATCCAACGCCGTATGGGTTGGCCACAGGGTCATCTGGCATTGGCACGCTGTCTTGATATATCACGGTGTTATCATGTCCATCAATGGCCGGGTCAATGCGCATGGAGAAGATATGCTGATGGAACGCCGCCATGACGCCGGGTCCAACATTGGTGCCCCACGGCACGGTGGCGCCGTTCTCGTTGTTAATTGGCATGGTGGAAAGAATGCCGGTTGCGCGGACTTCCAGCTCGATGCTTCCTGCTTGATCGAAGATCCAAGCGAAGATATATTCGTAGTTGGAGACAGTGCAGATAACCTGCACGACAAGCTGGCGCTTTCTGACAACGGTGGCTTCCGCGGTGCGATAATTGGTGTGTTTTGTATTGAAGCCCGGCGTCCTGTTCGTGCATACAGATTACGTTCTCGAGGGTGACGGGGTTTCCTTGGGAGTCGGTTCGGCAACCGTTGAAGTATTTTATGTGGCCTAGACAGTCGCAGCCTAGGGAGAGAGTGTTTGGCTGTGATTCCGAACCCGATGTCACCGGCATCGAATGCTTGTTTGCGGTGGTATGGAGCTCGAGGGTCTTGAGAGGCGTGAAATGAGTAAATGGTAATAGTTTTATGGCTGGGGTTATTTTTTTATTATTTTTATTTATTATTTTTATTTTTGACATACCGCCATATGGAACAGTCATTTCGCATACAGAAAGACGGTAAAAGACGCTGCGTTTATCATATGTAACACCGTACAGGACCAGGCCATCGCGGTAATTGAAGCCAATTCTGAAATCCCACTTTTGCCAGTGGACAGCATTGCCATTGACAGAAAAAGAAGCGCCCTCTGGTTGCTGCACGACGTAGGGTTTAAGATCCGTTCTCAGTGGCTCATTCAGCAGGTCGTGGGCATATTCAACCGCTTTGACTGGCTTCCACGGACTGGTTTCGGTGGTCGAATGGTCCGTTCCGGTTGGGAGGTAGTCCATACGCACAAGTTCATGGGTGAGACAATCGAAAACTGGAGAGAAGGGAAGTGGCAGTGAATAGTGATTTGCCTGTGCGTGGTTTGTTTCCGCCATGTACATGTAGCACTGGAACAACCTTCTGGTCTCATTTTCATCGTCACAGCCGTAGATCCAGGGATCATTGAGAACGGTGACGCCAGATGGAAGTTTCAGCTTTTCAATTTCAGCGAGGACTGCGGGATGTTTGAGGCAGAGTTGCTCGATTTCGATTACCTCATCGATGTCGCCAGGTCCCTGTGGGAGCCCGTCAGAATCAATCAAACCCACAGGCACGAACAGAAACGGTTGGCTTCATATGTATCGTGTTGTGACGCATACCTGTACATGTTTGGGTAATTCCTTCGCCGAGATTACCGTCCTCGTGTCCAAATTGATGAGGGCCTTTAGGAAGGCTTTGGTATCGAGTCTGTGGAATAGTGATTGAATGATCCGAGCTGGCTTCGCGGGCAGAGGAGTGCCCAGTCGCTCTGCCTCAAGGTACGGCACGACATCTCGCTTGATAGGTTCTTGAACATCGATCACTTTGAACCGCAGAGATACCCCTGGAAACGATGCCTGGAGAATTTCCGCCGCGAGGCTGACCTCATTGGGACGGATAGGGTCAAATGGATGGGAAGTCATGGTGCGTCAAAAGAGAGATGACACAAAAGCGTATGGGAATATGGTCCTAGAGCGGTAGTTAACAGTGGGACGAAATACTTCCTGGTGCAAGTAGAAAGAAATAATTCCAGGAAGCGGAAGCAAAAGCTGAGCTCAACCGAAGGAGAAATTTATGGTTGAGCCCTCGTCTCCTAAATATCTAGATCCCCATAGGAGGTTTTATGCCGCGATACCGCTGGAGAAAGACTGCCAAAACGCTATTGTCGATATCAAGCCGTGGTGGGAGCCCAGCAGCGGACCGAGCAGGATCGGAGTCTCTTGAGCGATGGCTTTCCCCCGCATCGCTCGTTTGTGGAGCATGTGGTGGGGATTGCATCAGAAAACGGGCAAACAGCTCAGAGTACTCCGTACGGGATAATCCATCCCGCAATCCCTGGATACATCCTTGGTTCACAGACATAATATACTGCATCGCATTCGTATTTATTGTCAAACCATAAATTGAAATGCTGCGCTGGGGTTTGCTGGCTCAACAGAAATTGAGATGCAAGTCGGTTTTTAAACCCGATGGAGTTGGGCCATCATCAGTGCTCTGCGATTGAGCCGACTGTAAAGAGAGAGACTCCCAAACGTCCCAAAGACTTCTTCATACTACAGCAATTTCAGAAGTTATAGCTTAATCGTGTGGTTCAGTTAACTATGTCAAGTCGGAGATGAATAATGTCAGGCATCCTCTGTACAGGGCGTCCACAGTTGGGGCGCCAAGCCAAAGGTTTGATTGACAACACCAACAACCGACTTCACACTCACACTAGGATGCTCTGGTTCTATGCCAGCCGTTCATGCACCAGGAACCAAGGGTACCTGATATCAGCGCGGTGATGGCGGCAGCCTTGAATGGGATCTCAAGTTTCGCCAAGTTTCTTTTTCACCTGGGTTCGAGTTCCCAACAAGATCAGCCAATCTGGGATATATAAGTACCTGAATTCTCAAGGACAGAAAAAGCCTACGTGCAATTTGAATGTTGCTGATACGCGGATTCGATTCAGAAAAAATGTCGGCAGAGCAGCAGTTGATTGGCTTGTTCTCGAGCTTTTCACATCTACAGGCACCTGGGCAGCTAGAGGTTTCATCAGGATGGATGGAGCACATTTTTCGACGCAGCCACATCGTATCGGTTATTTGGGCGCGCGATCATGTCCTTTCTGGCCCTTCAGACACCCTTTCGGATAAACCGAGGGGAGAAGGGGAGACGGTTCTAAATCCAACATAGCAAGTGATTGACCCTGGGGCCAAGCCCCTGGATACATACTAGCGAGGTCCGCGTCGACTAACGGCTAGGCTGCCAAATCAATAATCTCGTCACTCAGATTCGCGATGAACAAGAGGCGAAGCGACCCTATTGTTTGTTGAGTTTCCAAACAAACAAATTCCTGTCTCCAGGATGGACAACACCCAGACCGAAACTGGGGAGCAGCAGTCTGAGCCGGACCAAAAGCCTCCATTTAAGAATTTCTGGGTATGGCGCTACGGCGAAACGATCAACCTTTTCTTACGATGTTCTACCTTCTACCGGAGTGAGATGTTTCGCTGACAGTGCCGTTTTTACACAAAGAGAATATTAGGCCATGGAACCCTCCTCGACAAGGTTTTAATGGGAATTGCGGTATTATGTGCTGCAGGAGCAGGAACTGTACGGCATTTCCCTTGCGCCTACATCTTGCAAGGGATACTAACTGGCGGTTCAGGCTTTGCCTTTGATGAACGTTATCTTCGGTTGGTACCCTTAAAACCGAGGATGTCACGGCCAGTGTAATTAGCTGATATCTTTTCCATTCCTTAGGCAATGTTGTCAGCGATTTCAATGGATATTTCATCCCTGGTTCCGGTGTTACCAAGGAGAAGTTTCTTAGCAGTGTGAATCGGAGCGTGTGCGTATTCACCTAATCTCCTTTATATGCCACATGAAACTACCCATTAAATGGATGAGATATTCCAGACCTTTGGGTTAATACATTCCCAGGCTATTTATTGTATACCTTTTTATCGGCAAGTTTCTGCTTGGCTATATTTCCGTGGTAAGTATATCTGGCCCGTGATCGCGGCTATAGGAGACAAATTAACGGATTAAGTTTTGTCTACGAATGACTGGGATCAGAATTTCTGCGCGGCTTCGTCTATCGTATCTTCAAGCTCTTTTCAACCAACCCATTAGTGTTTTTGATACACTCCCCGTTGGAAGGCCAACAAATACCATCACTACCTCCTCCAACACCATACAGGCAGGCATCTCGGATAAATTGGCCATACTTGTCCAATCACTGGCTCTGGTTATAAGCGCTTACGCCGTCGCGTTCCGCTTTTCTTGGTCATTGACATTGGTTGCAAGCTCTTCTATTTTGTTTATATCGATATTATATAGTCTCCTCGTTCCGATATACATCAAACTGCAAAAGAAGGTTGAGCAAGCGGACGAAAAGGCCTCGTCGATTGCAGGAGAAGCGCTTGGGTCGATTCGTACAATTGTCTCTTGCTGTGCAGAAGGCAGGCTTGCGGCTCGTTATGGAGAATGGGTTGGGGAAGCGCGAAAACGAGGAATGAGGCTGGCGCCACAGGTCGGTGCGCAGCTCGCGCCATCAAACTTCGCCATGTACGGGAGCTATGCGTTGACGTTCTGGTTCGGCATCAGACAGTATGCGTCGAATAATATTCCTGATGTTGGCCCCGTTATTACGTATGTATTTTCACTTACAAAATATCCAGACTTTGACGTGCCTGTTTATCTAATACGCTTTGTTTTCTTCTTTTAATTTCCAAATAGGGTCATTTTTTCAGTTTTCATAGTGGTATCAACACTCTCTTTTCTTGCAACCCCTATTATCGCCATTTCCAAGGCAGTGAGCGCATCTACCTACTTTTTCGAAATGATAGACGCGCCAAAGCCTAAAACGTCTGGCTTGAAGGATCAAAATGTTTCAACCACCGATATCCGTTTCGAGGCCGTGAATTTCTCGTATCCAACCCGGCCCAATGTTAAAATCCTCAACAATCTGACCATTGATATTCCAGCTGGAAAAATAACCGCACTTGTTGGACCCTCTGGTTGTGGAAAAAGCACGATTGTCGGACTGCTGGAACGTTGGTATCAGATTGAGAACCAGTTTGAGGGCGACCCTAATAGTGACGCCCCACAAAGCGGTGATCCTCAAAACGAGAAAGTGCACGAGACAGCAACATCCCCCAATAGTGGGTCAATAAAAATTGGGCCTCACAATCTCTATGACCTGGATCTTAAATGGTGGAGATCCCAAATCGGATTGGTGCAACAGGAACCATTTACGTTTAACACAACCATCTACCAAAACGTCGCCTATGGTCTAGTGGGATCAAAGTGGGAAAACGAATCCGAAGAAGTGAAAAGAAAGCTTGTTGTGGAAGCCTGCCGGGAATCGTTTGCGTCAGAATACATTGAAAAATTGCCGCTGGTAAGCTTTACCTTGTTCCATCCGTACCTGAATTTTCTTTACAACTTGTACTTTAGGGATATGGCACCATGGTTGGAGAGAATGGCTTGAAACTCAGCGGCGGCCAGCGCCAGAGACTTGCAATTGCTCGAAGCATTATTAAAAGGCCGCCCATACTTATCCTTGATGAGGCAACAAGTTCAATCGATGTTCGAGGAGAACGTATTGTTCAAGAGGCACTTGATCGAGTATCCAAAAATCGCACGACAATAACCATCGCCCATCGATTATCTACGATAAAAAAGGCAGATAAAATCATCGTTCTGAAGGCAGGAGAAAGCATTGAGCAGGGAACACATGAGGAGTTGCTTGAATTCAAAGGACTGTATCACTCGTTGGTGGAAAATCAGCGTCTCGAAATGGGAGAACAGGACCCTGATATCCAAGCCGAGGTCAATCCAAAACGTCAAGTTGAGGATATGCAGAGCATCCTCAAAGAAGCCTCAAGAACCGATGATGCTGGTGGGCCTGACCAAGAGCCTGTGCTTACGTATAAAGCGAGATCGCTGGTCAATTCGGTCGGCCTATTCCTCTGGGAACAGAGAAAGCTTTGGTATATGGATGTTGCCATTGTTATTGCTGCTGCGGGCTGTGGGTGTAGGATATCCCGTTATGCTACTCATCTTGGGATGTATGGTTGTCTCATGTGTGTATGTAACTGACACTTCGTTACCTAGCCGCCTTTGCCATCCAGAGTTATATATTTGCACAACTCACGGCCGTGTTTCAGCTATCTGGTGATCAGCTGATTAACCGAAGCGAATTCTGGGCCCTAATGTTCTTCATACTTGCCCTTGGTGTTGGGTTTTTTTACTTCGTACTGGGCATTGTCGTCGACAAGTCTGTCTGCGGTAAGTTTGCATTTGAACTCT